AATGTAGTTTCGATATCAAAAAATAAAAATGAAGTTTCACCAAATTGTGCCTTAATTTTTCAGCAATATAAATTTTTATTTCTGAATTTCATAATTCAGTTTCTTTTTATAACATAGTCGATACAAATTTATATTGAAAATAGTGGTTATACCTAAACTGATTAATATTGAAATGAAATATCAAATCTTTACAACAAGCAGGTAAGCACATCATTAAAATAGATGCACGCCCCACAACCAAGAATAATATGTTCGTTCCATTGCATTTTGTACCATTGCACTGCATTAAAAGCCGTGCCTACAGTCCAGTGACCAAGATATGGCGCTCTTGAGGGACGACTTGTTCTTGGTGCTGTAGCTACAACTGAATCAGCGTTAGGATTTGGATTTGTTCGAAAGGGTGATGTTCCAAAAGGAATAGAAATTAATACAAATTCGGTATTTTGACAATATGGTTGAACATATGAAATCTTATTTAATGCGTTATCACGATCTTTAGCCTTGTTGAATGTCACCTGTAATATTTAACAGCTTAAAAAGATTGCTAAAAACACTCATTTCTAAAAACAATTGTTACCTCGATCCATAATAAAGGAGGCGGAGACGAATTAATAATAGGTGCAATCCTTTGCTGACGCGTTGGTCGTGTGCTCCATCCTCCTACGTCAGGTCTAAATTCATTATGATTAACTACCGATACCACATCGTTCAACACCAACCAACTTGAAAGTTGTTGACGAAGCGAATCATTCAATGCAAGATGTATTTCTTCTTTCATTACACCATTAAACTGAATGAATAGTATAAAGATCAGAAAATAAAAGTCACATAATCATAGGACAAAAATTTCACCTTGATGAACAGCTTATCATCAATCCTTTCAGCTTTGAAAATATTGTGAATAGCTTCAAGAGCTTTCTCACGTTTTTTAGCTTTAATAGGTGGTAAATCTATCTCTACAATATCTAAATCTAAATCATCATCGGAAACCTTTTCCCTCACAAGTTTAAGTTCTTCTTCTATTTGATCAATGGCCTGAAAATAATGAATTGCTAGTTATAATTCATTCACTATGTTTTCAAGTAATATTTAAATACCTTTGTCTCTTCACTTTTCATAAGATTTTGAATTATACTTTTTACAGTTTTAGGGATAGTGTTTTGACTATACTTTGTACAAATTTTTATAACGTTAGTGGAAATGAATAGTTAAAGTTGCTAATCAATAGCAAGAAACAAGAATAGTACTTGTCCACTGTTTAAACGACCACTACTACTGGATTCATTTGCATTTTCCGAAAGTGTGGTTGCCATGTCGGAAACAGCAATAAAAAAAAGGATTTTTTTTGAATGATCGGTAGCTTATCGTTATTTATACACTTCATGGGTGATCATTGACCAATTAACAGGCACCCGATTTGTCACATCTAAAATTTAAAAATTTTACCTAAAAGCTTAGTTAAAGTAATTTTAGGTAGCTGTCCCACAAAATTTTTTCCACCCCTTGTAATAACGACTAATCGAATTTCAGGATCAGGTGTAACGTGATAGTCAAAACAAACGTGTTTTGTTTTCTAAGTAAAAAGTTACGCGCAAAATTAAAGTTAAGAAAACCGCGTTAAAGTTAAGGTTAGGACTAGAATAATGTAACGCCTACAAGTAAAATTTTACAAGGAACATTTTTCGTTAGACCACAGAAGGCGGTTTCCTAATTAAAATTTAGAGCTATTCTTGTTTTTTGCTTCGTCTCGATTTTCACGTTACACCTGATCCTGAAATTCGATTGGTCGTTATTACAAGGGATGGAAAAATTTTGTGGGACAGCTAGGGGCTTAGTTAAAGTACGCTATGTTCCCTAAGACAAAATTATTGCTGAAGTTTCTACTAGCTAAAAGGTATCAAAAACATAAGAAAAGAACTTCTCCTTATAAACTAACATACTCTTGAACATGGCCCATTATTTTGATTACTTTTGACACATTCTTTTCAGGTTTGCAAATTCGCGACCCAAAAAGTGTTTCACAAGACGCGTCTGAACAAGAGCTTTCGGCAAAATCAAACTTTTAAATGCTGGTGCATTATTAAAGTAATGAAGAAAATCAAGGAAAACTGTTTTGCCGTATGTAGATCACCTATTAATTTGACATTTAAGCTATTCACTTTCGTTAATACTTACCAATACACTATCTTTTTTTATTTAGTTTCGTCTAAGATAAGTTATTTAAGTTTATATTATTTTATTTTACTTGTTTAATTAAGAAATTTAGACATAAGTTACATATAATGTGAAATACAAGTTTTATAATTTAGATAGATTAATTGAATCCATGTTTTTATATATTTTTTCTATAGGTTTGTTGAGCAGTGTGTTAAAACTATTATATTCGTGTTGATTATACACTGTTTAAGATTATTTGGGCTTGGTGCTGGGAAAAGGGACGAAAGGGAGAAGGGATGAAAGAGAAAAGGAATGAAGGGATGAAATTGACAAAAAAAACCTCTTACAAAAAATTAATTATCTCATGAACTATCATTCAGAATCATATAATTTTTTGGTATCATTTGATTCGACTCACTGAGACGAATTGAATGATATCAAAATTATATGATTCTGAATGATAGTTCATAAGATAATTAATTTTTTAAGGAGGTTTTTTTGTCAATTTCATCCCTTCATTCCTTTTCTCTTTCATCCCTTTTCCCTTTCGCCCCTTTTCCCAGCACAAAGCCCACTTATTAATTGATGTAGTTAAGATATTATTTAAAATTGTGTAATTTTTAATAAAAAAATAAATAAATTTACAATTTTTTTTTTGAATCACAATTGTATTTCTAATTACAACTATATCTTAGCTTTAATTTAATCCAACCCAGCA